ATTCCCGTGTTCCCAATTTCTCGTTCTCTCGTCATGCAACTCATCCAGACTTCTGTGAGGACTGTCTTTGCAAGGAAAAATTGCGTTTTCCTTCTGGTGGCTTGGGAGGACTCAAGAGCCTTCGGAAGTGCACAGCGAGACTTGAAACACAAGTCATTTTAATAGAAATGCGGAGCAAAAAATGAACAGGCACCAGAAGCTATGTTGACGAGTGAAACGCGTATAATGTCTGCTTGACTAGTTGGGATGGCACTAAAACGAGGTCCACGTGAACGATGAACGAAATTACGATGTTAAAATGTTCATTGCAGCAGTTTGTAGTCGGCCAAATGAAAATCGTATAATTGTGATCGTTTGGGCTCAAAAGGCTTTGCCAAACAAATGTGCACAGAACCTTATCACTCACAATGTTCTAAATTACCACAAACCCGCAGACTGCAGTAAGACCGTCCCGCCAGCATCACATCCAGCAACACGTACCGGTCTCCCATAGGCGCATTAAGGAAGAAATGTGAGAACTATTTTGCTTTCAAATCTGGGCAAGCGTTATTAACATGCATTTGAGTGCTCAGCCATTGAGTAGATAGTTACAAGTCCTGAGTCTCCATTCCCGGTCGGCTTCATTCATTGTTCCCCAGTATGGCCTGACATGGTCAACTTCGAGGCTCTGAGCATGTGCAGGAGATATCAGGCTGCTGAGCTTGAACTTCATTTTCAGTGGAAGTTGTACATATCTGAAAAATCCAAACCGTGGTGGTTGCGGTGAAAGTTCCTCGGGATTCAGCGCGTATCGTATTCGTTTCTCGTTTCTTTCGTTAAAATTCGGCCCATGAAGCCTAACCAAGGAAGTCCATACTTGCCTTCGCAATTCAGTTTATTGTTCAGTAGGATCGATACTACATCTTCCCGCAAAATGCCTCAAGTAAGTTTACACTTACCTGTATATCTTTATGATCCGAACACTTATTGAATCGGGTTTCGACATCGATGGTAATATCAAGACTTCGGACTTGGCGAGCAAGACATTTCAAGACCTCGTGACACGGGTATTAGACCTTCCATTCATTGGACCTAACCAACCTTAGGCAAGCCAGTCCTTGGCATTGCACTCACATACGTCTCTTACATATCTCCACCCCAGTATCCAAGTTCGTTCTCAGACTATTGCCTAATCCAGCGTCTCTTCGGGTTTTGTCTCCACATATCGAGCATCGTCCGCCTCAGCGTGGCTATAGAACGATGGAGCCACTATCCCCGTTCCATTCGTTCTCGCTTCTATTTCAGATGATACGATTGTAGTCGTGGGTCTGGCTAGTCAGACTCAGAAGAATTGAAAGCGCAAAGGGACCAACTGGGGTCTAAAGTATTTGCAACCAATCGGAGATCGAGAAGACGCGGGTATAAGGATGATGCATCTGATTACTCACCAGTGTTGAACTTCCTAATATGACAAAATCCCGCTCGCAGTTTTATACGAGGAAGAAAGATACAGAAAGACACAAGGTACGTGCTCGATATTTTTTTACTTTCCTTTGTCTTGATGCTCCAGTATCCCATAATCTTCTTTTACTGCGTTGGCAGATTATTTACCCCCATTCTCTTTCTGCCGAAATGATGTATGTTTACGTGACTGGTAGCAGCTACCTCGGAGTCATACTTAGAGTATGGAAATTTTGGTCCCCCATTCGCAATCGCGAGATATACGTGAGCTTGAGAGCGATAACAAAATCATACGTTTAGATGATGTCAATACATCCGAATAACCTTATATCCGGGAGGCCGCTTCGCCCTCATATCCTGACAGGTGTTGATTATTATTTTTATCTCTTGATAATCCTTGTTTTATTATCCGTTAGGGGTGTTGTTTATACGCTATGTCGCTCCTATGTGCGGTCTGTAGATTCTGTTCTTTGTAGGTGGGCACCAGTACTGAGGTATTCGAACAGGGATTGTTGTTGTAATACTGGACTCGACTTGAAACTTGAAAGCTCGGACCGATGCCACAAAGGCAAAATCTAGGGAGCGATGCTCGAGCACCGCAGAAGGAGTAAATGTGTACGTCCTTCGGAATCCGGAGTAGATTCGTGAGTAATCCTGTCTGACCGATCTTGACTAGCCAGGCTAGGATTATCTTCACGCAATGGTGCGTACACGTACTCGGTACATACCGTTATCGCAATATTTTTCGGAGAGTGTAAGATCACCTTGTAAGTGCCCCCTTTGACTGTATAAGAAGCAATCGATTTTGGGTCAGGTACTCAAGATTCAGCTGCCTCATCTTTTCAATTTGCGACTCATGTCTACTTTAACCGTTGCGAAAGCGCCTTCTGGGCCTGAACATAGAACGCCATGCCAAAAGTCAGACATCGAGGCGTCCACAAACACAAATGATACAATCGACATAGAACATGTTCCGGTTGATGACGACCCCCGTCAGTGGAGTCGTACCAGAAAAGTGCGTGTATGACATTCGTGCGGTGTAACCCACCTGACGTTGTGCCACTTATAGATGATAACTTTGTGCATGGTGTCACTGGCTACAATGGTGTCTGGGTTAGCTTCTAACGTTCAAAATCGTTTGTCGCATTTGCTTTCCTTATGAGCATTTTTGACACCATCCCGCAGCCTCAAACTCTCTGATACAGGAGGATTTACATGCAACAACTAGCCAGATTAGCTGGACATTAGCGGCGTTCCAACTCATACAAGGGAACCTTCCGCTGTTATGGAGCACCGCAAGTGAGATTAAAGGTCGTAAGGTGGGTCTAGGTGTACCCACCCTTTTTGATCTGCTTAATGAGCGCGGAACTCGTTTATCATAGCCTGTCTATTTGGTGGCTTCAGCTATATTCGTGGTAGGAAATACTGCTTTAGCGCTCTCAAAGACCATCGAGGTGATGATTGGTATGCGAGCACTTCAAGCTGCGGGGTAAGTATCCATCTCAAAACCTTGATCTCTGATTGATTCCCCCCCTAAAGGTCATGCGCTGTCATTTCTATTTCGGCTGCGACCTTGGCCGATATCTATGAGCCTCACGAGCGCGGCACCATGATGGGCATCTTCTATGCTGCACCTCTCTTAGGACCCGCACTGGGCCCTATACTTGGCGGATCGTTGTCACAAGCCTTCAACTGGCGTGCAAGTTTCTACTTTCTACTAATCTGTGGAGGAGTAATCTTCTTGTCCTTCCTCATTCTTTTCAAGGATACATACCGACGTGAACGAAGTCTCACGTATCGCTGCGCTCTACAACGACTTCATACCTCCAAAGAACCTGTTCAGAGTTCCAGGAAGGACCAAACATCGGTCAAAGACACTGAGAAGCAGCTCCAATTGCTGGATGTTCCAGTTAATAAATCAGTGGTGACTTCTACACTTGGGCTGGACGATGTCAGGCTATCAATTAAAGACATCAACCCCTTCCCGTCATACTTTCGAATTCTGTCACGAAAGAACAATGTTCTAATTCTTACTGCTAATGGTGAGTGGACAGTTGGCCTCTTGTACACGTTGTTAGTAACTTCATTTTGGGACAAGGACTCGTCTTCGGTTTTACCTATTGCCTTTCATACACGTGTGCCCGCACTCTGGCCAATGCATATGATTATAATGCGTTGAGTGTTGGCTTGGTCTTGCTTTGCCTGGGCGTCGGTAAGATCTGTGCCGCTTGGATTGTGGCAGAGGACTAATTTACTATGAAGGAAGCATCGCTGGGAGTGTGATTGGTGGGCGTTGGTCTGACCGGGTGCTTGCGAAGATGATGAAAGCGAATGGAGGAAAGTGGAACGCAGAAGTGAACCTTTTTCATACTCCCGCACCGGAGCTCTTGATTGACGTCTTCCGAAGATGCGCTTGCAGAGCTCGACACTGGGGATGCTGTGGCTACCTCCGGCGGTCATCGGTTATGCCTGGGTGTGCGAAAAACATGTCAATGTCGCTGTCATTTGCGTCATGCTTGTTCTGATTGGATTCTCCTCCATGTCGGTACACCGGTTGTTCGTCGTTGTTTCTCTGACATCTACTCCCAGATGGATGTATACTTGCACATTGGCATACCTCGTTGATGCCAACCCTGGTCGCTCGTGTACAGCAGTGGCTACAAACAGCTCATTCCGAGGATCCCTGGCTTTTGTTTCGGTGGTGATTGCTGTACCGCTTCAAGTGAGTTCCCTCGATATCTGCTGTGTTTCACAAGTCCTGACATTAGCCCACTCTCCCTGTAGAATGCTTTAGGAGATGGGGGGTTGTATACTGTGTGGGCCGGCATCTTGATTGTGACGGAGTTGATGGTTATATTGGTACTGCGCAAGGGAGAATCGTGGCGCAAGGAAGGTGAGGAGCGTGAGCTGAAATACTAGGTGAATAGATCCGTATCTTGTGTTACACTTGTATGATAAGACAGGTATGGAGGCATCTCATGAAGGAACATTACATGACAGTGCTACAGACCCTATTGTGTAAGTTCCAGGCACAAATGTATAAGGCGAAGATGACTGGAAAGAACTGCGCGGTGTGGTTTTCGCTTTCGTATTGCGAAGGAACGACTGTTTATCATGCTCTGTTGTTCAGATAGAATTGACAAGCTCACTAGTACTCTGTCCTGTTCACCGAGAGCGCGCGACGCATTGATATATAACCGACGTGTTTCAAGTCTCAACAAGCAGAAATGAAGAGGTCGCAACAATAAGGACGGAGACACCCTCGAGTATGAGGTGGTTGGGAAAGTTTCAAACAACAGCGCAAACAACAACGCTCTGAGTATGTACACCCAACGGCTAAGATACATTGATATTTTCCACCCGTACATTGCCAGTGGTGGCACAGATCAGCTTCCATATGAAGTCGGCGTGCAATAAAGACTTTACAGTCACAACCCCGACAGTAATCGGGTGAGAATACACAATGTAGGAATTGATAATAATGCTTCCAACAACTGGATCCGGGCTGCAAAACCAGTTAAATATTATGTAGTCTGTTATCCTAGTCGAGCTGATCGTGATTAACAAGACTCGACTGGAGCTGACGTTTCTGATCGACCATGGTCATAAGCATCACGACCCGCCCAGAGCCGACGTTTCTTGTCGCGCTGATCATAATCCAACTGGTGCTGGAACGCCATAATCTCTCGCATGAGAAGACGATCATAATCATCAAAACCCATCCGGAGCTGACGTCTCTTGTCGGGCTGATCATAATCATCAAGACCCGTCGAGAGCTGATATTTCTTGACGGGCTGATCATAACCCAACGGGAGCTGGGACGCCATAGTCTCTCTTATGGAGAAATGGTCAAAGCCCTCTGGCTCACCTGAATGATACATTACGACAACTGAGTGGATATGATACCGCTGATGATCATGAATACCCACAGAAACAGTTCAAGTTGGCTCCTGGCACAGGCAACGCAGCAGCAAGAATGATGGAAGATACAAGTGCGCTCAAGAGCACAGAGAGCTGCATATTTGGGGATAAGAGGAATGACTACTTCGTTGATACATTTCCCTAAGAGCTTTTTATACATTCTCGTAGGCCTGCTCCATTTTGGCCTCTTCCACGATACATTTTCAGATTGGGGCCAGTGGTCCTGACTCCTGGGCCAAGTTTTCGAGCTTCGAAGTGTGGCATCACCATGATACAGCATTCAATGGCTTTGCATGGTAATTGCCCAGTGACTGATATATTATACAATGGGTCCGGTGTGGAAGCTTCAACATCATGACTCACGGTGCATTCACAGTTGGCCGACATTCGGTAGCGTGAGAGGAGCCTAGACTACCACGTCAGATATACGTGAATTCAAATTTAAATGTGCTGTCATGTCATCGCCAGCATATCTTGCGCAATGCAGTCACCAAATACGGTTTGTTTTTTCCAACCTGAGATGGAAGGATGAATCATGGTGACCTAGAGTTAAGTTTCTCCACCGTGCCGGGGTGCTATTGGTGGACATGGCATATTTTCTACGGATCTTTGAGAAAAACACTTTGAAACGGTTGAGTGCATTTTGCAATTCCCTGGGCCGCCACATCGGCCATGTGTTTGAGAGTAGCAGGATCCGCCAGTGCACAAATTGTGATCATCCTGTTCTACTGCGAGCTCAGATGGGTCGAGCACACCGAGCTTGAGGAGGAAGGGTAAAAACGGTATGGAAAGCCGTCCTGAAAATTTCAGGATGAAGTAGTCACTCAGCTGCAGCTTTCTACTCTCTTCAGTGCTCTCACGTCCTTCGTCAGTCTTTCTGCGGTGTAAGGCATACCAAGAGCCATCGTGACTCGATATTGTGAGGATTCGTGACCACTAGCAACACCAGGATTCGCAAATATAGATGAGGCCGGTTCGGACGATTTGTCGTCGAAGGTCTGAGGGCCATGTGCCTGAATCAATCCGGAAAAAAATCAGTGCGACCCAGGGGCCTGGTTCTTTATGCGAACAAATACCGGCTGAGATGACGGAAGCCTGATCTGTGTCCAGACAAATTGTCAGGCAGTTTTTTGTACTAAGTAGGCTGTGAAACCAAGGGGCTTGTTGGTATAGGTTAGCATTCGCAATTCGAAAAGTCTTGAGCGCGATCATCCCGCAGTGATTACTATGGCATAGTCCACGTATCTGACAATGACGCAAATTTTGAGAGGGGGGTGTTGAGGTAATAGTGAGACTAGTGGCAAATTAGTATTGTCGAGGTGTTGAGCATGAGACCAGAGTGGGGAGTCTTCGTATACAGGACAAAGTAAGAACAGAGAGAAGGAATCGGTGAAGTCATGGACTTCCTTTGCAGCGTGCACGTACGTACGTGTGTAGTGACTCGGAAAACCTGGAGAACATTCACCTCCTCGGCAAACACCGAGAAGCATTAATATTAGGTGGGCTCAGAGTAGTCCGCTGTCCGCTGTCCGCTGTTGCTTTCGCTTTCGCTGTCATCCGAAACAAATTATTTTACAACTCGCACAAAATATTCCGAAATAAATCACGTATACCATGTTGAGCGCAGTACTTACCGAAGCTGGCACGTTGGGTCAGGTCTTAGAGCACAAGCACTCAGACGAACCAACATGTTGCGTCTTCCTTTGTTGATTGTGTCCCTTCCAAATTCATTGACTGATATTTATTTACAGTGTACACGATACCCTCCCCCGTCCGTACCTCCCAGGCTTGGTCAGCCCTCTCCCTCTCCCAGCCCAGATCTTTGCTCCTATTATCGCGTGGTCAATCCATCAATTTCAGCCTCGATATTTCTGCCTGACGTCCTCTCATATTCGTCGTCAGGTTCATACAAGTGTCCACAATATTGACGGACGGGTAAGTACTCGCGGTCGTGACCTGCTAAAGACTCTGCAGGCCAATAGTGCCGAACCTACCAATAACTGTATATATACTTTCGCAGGCTGCGGGTTGAGCCCATGAATGTACTTCCTGAGCTAAGGATCGGCTCGGGTCACAAGTCAGCATAATCGTTCCTGTACGTTAGGCGGAGCAGACCTTTTCAAAGTACCGGTGTATCAAACATTATGTATGCGAACATCTGGCCATTAGTAATAAAATAGAGTACACAAATATTTGAGTTAGGAATCGTTCAGCGTCGCAGTGAAAGTTGAAGCGGCTTGAGAGTTGAGCTGGCGCGTAAAGAATGCACCATTGTTTTAATGAGTGCCCTATCGTATCATTTGGCAGG